AAAGCAGTGGTTCTCAACCTGTGGGTCACGACCCCTTTGGGGCTTGAACCACCCTTTCACAGGGGTTGCTCGATTCATAACAGTAGCAAAATTACAGTTATGAAGTAGCAATGAAAATAATTTTATGGTTGGGGGATCACCACAACATGAGGAACTGTATGAAAGGGTCGTGGCATTAGGAGGGTTGAGAACCACTGCTCTAAAGACTACAGCCTGTGACACCCTCTTGGGCAGTTTTATTCTGTCCTAGAGACTGGCTAGGGAGAAAGACAAGGCTTTGTAGTCCCGTAAAGAATTATAGTCTTAGAAACTCACAGGGGCAGTTCTACCCTGTCTTCTAGGGTGACTATGGGTCAGCATTTGGTACCTTTCTATCACAACCAACTGCCTCCTTCATTATGAATTTTTAGAATTTAATCAACAGTGGGACTTTAGGCACGTAACTTAAGCTTTTTGAACCTTAGTGGTCTTCTCTTGGCAATATGGAGGATGGTACTCACTGAACAGTGTTGCTGTGAAGATTATATGAGCATACCTGTGAAATGTGCTTGCATACAATGTTCACACGATCTGGATTCCATAAGTGATGCAACTACCACCAATCATTATGCTCTTTCTACACGTCTAATTTTAGAATTATTTTCATTGCTAGGTGCTGTTAAGTCAATTTCAACTCATATGTGACACAATCCCATGTGACACAGGCTGCCTCATACAATTCTTTCCCAGGAGGGGCTTGGATAGCAGAGCAAATTAAGTGTTGGGTTTCTAATAGAAAGGGCAGCAGTTCAAACTCACCAGCCACTCTTTAGGAGAAAGATGAGGCTCTGTCTTAAAGGGCGAGAGGAGTTGGAATCAACTCGATAACAGTGGGTCTTAATCTTTACCAGAAGGCATCCTGGAGGCAGAATGGTTAAAGCAACAGGCTGTTGGTGATGGGAGCTCACAGTAGCTCCTTTATAGAAAAGACCTGGCTTTCTCTTCCTGTAAAGATTACAGCCTAAGAAACTCTCGGGGGCCGCTTTATTCTGTCCCATGGATTCATGATGAATTGGAATTGACTAACAGGCACACAACAACAACAACAACATCCTTTATGAGAGCCAATTGCTAGGTCTTTCTCCTAAGGAGCTGCTTGGTGGGTTTTACTGCCAACCTTTGACTGTTTAACCTGCTTCAGGGTAGGGATGCCAAATACATGGCTTACTTGATACCAGTATATCCATGACAGGCATTGATGGCAATTAAATTATTCTTTTTCATTGAGGCCAGATATGACCTTGGAATCTCTTTCAACCCAGGCTACCCTCAAGGTAGCCACTATCAAGCAACCACCTTTAACATGGACTATAATGTATACACTACAAAGATGGTACAGAATTTGTAGAATGCTCATGGCCTTGGTTCTAGAGTCCTACTTTTGGTTACACGTACCTAATTTTGTACTCTTACATAGTTTTCATTCGAGAACTTTGAAATTTTAAGTCCTGGCTGTAGCTCTAGTACGCTAGAACACACCCATTTCTTCCCTGGGCCTTAGCTTCCCCAACTACAAAACAATAGATTAGATAAGATTTATCTTGGGTCCATTATACTTGAGAATTATAGAATTCTGATTCCATAAAGGCAGTAAGAACAAGGTTCTGATGGATAGCCTTTTTGTTGCCAAAAGAGAAAAGGAGTTAAAGATTCAGCTTTATAGGATGTCTACTGAAGCTCAATGGCAGTGTAGAAAGGTTGAACAAATGATGTCAGATTTCCACAACTGAATAGGAAAAGGGGACACAGAGTAAAACTGGCCTTATCCTGCACAGGGCCATTGATT